ATGAATTGACAGCAGCATGACAGTGATGTTTGGCTCAATAATGACTTTTAGGAGCATTTTCTTTGGGAAACTATAGGGGTTTTTCTTGAACCAACGATGTAACAATCTAACTAAAAACAAACCATCTCTCTCTGAATCTATGGATCATATTGAAACCTGAAATGCTAGCAGCGAGCAAAGATGCATATTCCAAATTTAATTTCCCCAGCTTAATTAGCATCTGGCCTGTTAGCACCAAGTTCTTAGGAATGAGCATTCTCACAGCCAACTGTCATCAGTCTAATTTCTGGGCTCCTGAGACCAACTGCTCCATTGGTGCCAGGCAGGGGGAGCACAGCTGGGGTAGACATCAGGTTGCTGGCACCGGCAGGCTCTCAGAGTTCCCGTGAGGCGTCAGATCTGAAGAGGGCACTGCGGTCAGCAAGAAAGAAGCTTGTGTCGGCCTCAGGTCTTTGATCCGCTCTGAGGCAAGGGTACTTGTCTACATACCGAGGTGTATGTGGGGCAATTATTCATTCGTTTGGCGGAAGCCACCTGTGCTAACCCAGAATGTGCAGGACTTTTTTGCTTTTTGGAAGACTCGCGCTTATCCAAGAAGTCGTCATCTTCCCATCCACCTACCTTCTCCGCCCTCCCCACCCGCGCTTCGCTCCTTCCTTCCTTCGCTTTCTTATCTCCTTCTCTCAATTATTTATAGAGGGAGGGCCTGCTCCCCGCCCCAGGCACTCTGCTTGGTCCTGTGGGGGATCCAAAGGTGACTCCGAGGCATTCTGCCTGGCATGTTTTATTCTGATAACCCAGCCCCTGTTCTGATTTTAGTTTTGCTTTCAGGCACTGCTCAGCTAGTTCCTGGTGAACTTGAAAGCCACTTTGGCTGACAGCACTGAGGCGTCCCCCCCACCCTCAATGCTCTCCCTCCTCCCTATAGCACTGACAGCCCTCTCAGCAACCAGCCACCTTCCCAACACCGCCTCCTCCTCCAGTACCCGAGCTGGCGCTTGGGGCTCCTGACCCCTCCTGCTGTCGTCCCTTACTGCCTTCGGTCCTTCCTCTCAGGTGGCTTTACTTCCCCCTTCCTGAGCTGTGCTTGCTGGATTCCTCCCACTTCTTCCTCTTCTCGCGTTTGCTCCCTTCCTGATTTGCATTGATCATCTCTGATGAGCAGCTCTAGTGCAGGAAAAAAAAATAATAGCGGTTCTAATGATCCACTTCCTCTCTGCCCACTGTTTATTCCAGGGTAAGCTGTGCTTCAAGAGCCCTTTCCTTGGAGCTGAGGCTTGAAGGTACAAAGATGGCAGCTGATGTTCTACCCTTTTCCACATCTCTGCCCCATCGGAGTGACAGCCCAATCATTGAAGAGAGGACAGGACGTTTGTCTTGTTTTGTGTTATTAAGTCAGGAATGGGAGCAGTGTAGGGGTAAAAGATGAGATTCCCAATGTGATTTCAACCTTATTTGCCGGTTATAAAATGTCTGGAATAGACTTAAAAGCAGACATCTATTCTACTTGGAAAATTCATCCCCGTGCCTCAGTTCAGTTGGGGAGAAGTGGTCAGACCAGCTATTTGTTATCTGGGAGGCACAGCTGGGGGTCCTTTTCTTCTCACATCTGCCAACCTCAGAGATGCCTGCCCCTCTCCTCTGCCACTAATCAAGTTTAATCCTTTCTTCATGGCCCAGGCGTCTTCCAGCTGCCTGCTATCCATGTGAAGGCTCTGTACCATCCATCTTGCATTCCAGTCACAAGCTGTGGAGTCTGGTTAGCTAAGTGTGCGGAATGGATCAGAATGAAGAACTTTCTCCAGCTTCCTGTAGCCCCTCCCCTGACCAACTCCAGTGCCCTGGATGTCTTGACCAATTATTTGTGCAAGTCACAGTTGTGCCTTCCAATAATGTTATCGAGTCCCTTAGGGACGGACTGCTTTGTCTCTCCCACCCAGCTTGTCATTCTTTGAGAAGGGGGCCAGCCCTCATCTCCATCACCAAGTACAGAGATGGTGCTCACAAATTCTGTTGATTTTAACAGGATTCCTTTTGCTTGACGGTGGTGTCTAATGGAAATCACGTGGAGGTTTTCTCGAGAAAACCGATGTGGCTCACACCATTACTTACTTATCCTTTGCGAGGGGTTAGCCGTCCATGAATTTCAAATGTAGGCGTCACTCGGGCTTAATTTTCTTCAGCCCCATTTATTGAGTTTCACACCTGTCACAGACCCAGCTGTGGACAGGGAGGTCTTGCTGCCACCTCCTCCCCCTCACCTGGGGATAGTGCTGGCCCTCCCCTGTCAGCTGCGGATGGACAGTGGTCAGTGGATGCAGGTCCAGACACGGGCCTGGGCCTTTCTGAGCATTGATGGGGACGGGCTTCTCCCCTGGTGCGATGGCGCTCACAGTGGTGAGCTTTGCGGCACACGCCTCCTCTCCACCGGTCCCTGTCCACACTGTGGCAGGCAGAAGAGATTTTGCTGCAAGTTTACAGACTTGACGCCAAAGAGTCCGCCCTGGGGCTTTTCCGGAAACCCCCGCACTTCTCTGCTTAAAAGATAACGCGCAAGGGGCAAGTGAACCCTGACAAGGCTAATAATAGGGATTTCAACGTGGCTTTTACCAAGCCAGTCAGAGCATGTCCGGGCTCATTCACTAGCATGCTGCCTGGTAGAAGCATCCGCCACCCCCACTCCACCCCCGCCCCGTTGCCACTGGTGGGTGGCAGCAGCTTTGGGGCAGAGAGCCCCTCTTTTACTACATGGCCCTCGGGTTCTGTGACAGCCAGCCAGTCTGGGGAGAGGGGTCCTCAGCTTCCCACCAGTCGCACACAAAGGCTCCTTAAAGGGACCCGCCTGCGCCGCCGCCGCCTTGCCAGCGCTGCAAACCTGTGCCAGGCTCGAATAAATGGGGAGGGCTCCTGAGGCGCCCCCACGGCCTCCCCGAGCGGGGCAGGGAGGGAGGC